AAGTGCAGGATCCAGGGGCGGGAGGAGGAGAAAGAGGAGAGACTGTGCCCTGTGCTTTCCCTGCCCTGCTCAGGGAGAGCCGGAGGAGCAACTCTTCCCGGACGGGACTGCCCCAGAAGTGAAAAAGTCCGTGGCACCCCGGCCAGCCGCCCATCCCTGTGTGCTCCCCAAACTGCGGATAGGGTGCTGTCACACACTGAACAGTTAAAGCTGCTCAGTGTGTGACAGCTTTACCCTTCCACAAGAAATGAGTTCCAGTATTGTCTTGTTTAGGAGAGCAAGGAGGTTGACATCATATCGTTGCAATGAATGAAGTGTTAGAGAGCCAGAAGTTATGCTGCACTGAAAGTATTGCTGATGCTGTATATATTTCATTATGAAGTGTATGGCAATTGCGCTCTTTCCCAAAAGCAGATCTGTTAACTGGAACAATGATATCAACTATCCAAGGGGAAAATGTGAAATATTCAAAGTATTATTTTAGAAGTGAAACAAATATTAACTTCCATGGCAACTTTGTTCCTTTGCTTAATTAACACACACATTAAGGACAAGAACTTTGTTTTCCATTGTGTAACAATTTCATATTAGTGTTGCTGAAGTGTCTAAGTGTAAGAAGTAAGCTGAAGATGGCCACATTGTGAATAAAATTGTATAATTTAAGCATACTTTGAAAGTAGTTTTTTCACTCTGGGAGGAGGAGTTAGAGTAACTACTCCATGCTATCCTGTTTGTCAGAGAGCATGTCTGTATTTCTAGTGCAGATTTCTGAAAGAAAAAAATATTGGTGAAACAATCAGGGTATGAATATTCTGAGGGAGGTTTAGAGAAAAGCAGCATTTAAGAGGTGAAAATGAAATCTTTTCTGGGAATTGGCCAGTGGTTCCAAGATATATTTGCCATTAAGGATGCTCAGAAGTAGACTGAAGTCCAGACATGAAGCAAACTGGTAGGGAGAGATAATGCACTTGATTTGACAGACTGCTGGGAGCAGTGATTAGTTAAATAGAAAGGGGCTAAAAGAGCTGCCAGGTTGCATCATGGATTAGGAAAGGTATTTATTTGGCTTAACTGTGATTGAGGGGAAGTCATAAGGGACATTGACATAGGGCCTCCATTTGCAGACCTGCATGTAGGCTTTAGCGTAATAAAGTTTAAAATAGACAGAATATAGACATTTCACTTGTTGAAGGTGGTGTGCAAATGCAGGCAGGGGTACAGATGTGTAGGTAGATCATCCTGATTTAAAATGCATGCGGCATTTCTGACAGCTGTGTAAGAGGACTTGTTGTGAGTCAACATGCCTTGTCTCTGTATACTGATGCCACCTTCTTAGTGACACCTCACAAACCTGAAAACTGGACCTTGCAAGGTGCTCGGCACAGTTTTCTCTCTGCTGAAAGCTGTCAGCTTCTCTTTTTGCCCTTGACAGCTTCTGCTGGCTCCTGGAAGGAACAGCAGGTACCTTTCATTTCCTCTGAGGAAGATTCAATCATTCTTCTCCTTTGCAGAAGTGGTATTTATCTACTTCATCGTGGGAAGGTGTTAGACCTGGAAGGCATGTATTTGTGCCTCACATTTGCATATATACATATTTAGTGTGAAGAGACACTAGCATTCATACATGCAGGCCCAGACAAAGCAGGCTAAAGCAATGACACAGATTTTGCCTTTTATCCCCATGTATTACATCTCTGATGGCCTTTATGGGCTGCCTAATATTTTTACACAATGTGTAAGCAGAATGTTAAATCTGTAAGATACATTAGCCATAAGGAGACAATTATGCTTAGATTATTGCTCTTGGTTCTGCCAAAGATTGCCTGTATGGTATGATATGATTTTAATTGACTGGTGCTCATGGCTTTTTGTTCCTGTTAATCCTTTTCCATTCAGTATGATGTATGGACTGTGTTCAGAAAGTGAAAGTGCAGTTCAGATGACAGCCTTTTCCATTTTTCAGTGTGTCCACTCCATGCCTCATGTCCTTTAGTGTCTGTTACTTTCCACAGTGACTGAGGCAGCATCCAAGAGTTCTGGCATGAGAAGTGTCATGAATGAGTGATTTAGGTCACTCAGAGAATCACCAGCAAAGGGATGGGCAAAAGCAGATTTAATATTAAAGTGAAATGGCAATAAAGTTTGTTGGTGAAGTTCATTCTACTGCCATCAATACTACATTATAACAATGTCACATCATTATTGCATTACTACATCATTACATCTATGCCATCATTATTAGATGGTTAAAGCAGACAGAGAAAAATCAAACTAAAATCAATCAATCTAAAAATCAATAAACCAAAAATTATCTGTATGGAAGTAAGAACGGGAAAGGGAATAAGTCACTGAGTCACAGCATTCATGGTTGTCCTGGGGTGACTCACTTAACTCCAGATTTGATCAATGGTTTAGTCTAAAGGTTATAGCAGCACTTAAACATAGCAGCTTTTAATCAAAAGCCTGATTTCAACAATTTAACAAAATATAAATATAGAATTTAATATAGGCATGACAGTGACTATCTTACTTACAAACCTGATGTACTTAAGAATCAAAGAGAGCAATATTCATAATGAATTTGCTACAGCATATCCACATTCACACACACTCAGACCTAGAGGGACATGTACAAGGTATACCCAGGAAAAATTCCCCTCAAATTCAGTGAAGTACTCATTTTGTATGTCCTTGCATCTTCTTCATGAGCAAAAGGTTGAGTCTTGAGTAGTGGTTGGTATCAGCCCAGGATCCATCGTCATCCTTCAGAGATCTTCCAAGCGTAGCAAACCAGCTGGCTCTGAGAGGTGTCCCACTCAGAGGGAGGATGCTGATTGCATCCTGCTGTGATCCAGGAGAGCTTAAAGGGTATCAGGACTGCTCTTTATAGGATCACAAGAGAGTTGGGTTTAGATGAAGTGATTTTCCTTCCTGGCCTCAATGCGGGTTGGTAACATTATTTGAAAGTTCAATAATAAAAATGTTGTTCTACTTGGGTTCTTATTCAGGCAAGAAAAATTAATCTCCAAGGCTGTGTGTTAAAAAGCAGGAGCTCACTGGACAGCATTAAGTTCCTGAGAGCCAACAGTGTTCTTGATGAGCTCAGGTGGAACTTAGCCCAGGTGCTGTTCATTGAGATTGAGGCCTGTCAAGCATTTCAGAGATCATAGTGCAGCCCTATGAGGGAAGGGGGAGGAAATACACCACAAGTGAAATTACTAAACATTCTTTTGTCTTTTCTACCAAAATAAAGCCAAATGAGAACTTCTTGTTTTTGTTTTGTTGTTTGTGATTGTTTGTTAATATTATGAACTGTAGGTGTTTGATGTCCATTAATTTGCTATTTGTTTTCCAGTATGTCCTGTCTGTCCTGCAATTTACCTACCCTACCCTTTTTCAAGGGTAAGTATGGTTTCAAGAATTGTGGTCTGAAAAATGACTTTAACATCCTGCTGTTCCATGCTGAAGCTAACTTTACTACTTCTTGTTCTTACTGGCTTTTGCTGTCTAGAGATCATGCTTCATGAAGCCTTAATAAAGCATTCATTAATGTATCTTGGTTAATTTTTAAACATCGTGGAAGTGATGTAATTGAGATACGTAGAGTCCATAATTTCTCATTTTCCTTAAAATCCTAAGCTTCAGCATAGAAAAGTAGCAATTACAGTACAACCTCTCTTCTTTGGAAGAGAGGAAAATGTGGAAAATGTGTATTCATGGTGCATTCTTTTGCTGTTCTAGAGAAAAGCATGCTTAGCCTTCTTTTCCTGCTTAGCTTTGGTTGTAAGTCTGCATCACAAGTCACTATCATATCTCAATGACTGTAATTAAAAATTTAATGTTTTGACAAATGTCCATATATACCATCAATGCTGCTGATGAGACATTTAGTGAAAATCTGGCCTCTTAGAGACAAGACTTCCCCCATTTTTGAGATTGTGTTAAAATCTGCAGACACTGGGTATCTTTACTTCCTCTTCTGCTGCTTAGCATAGCTTACATTTTTGCCTGACTTGCAGTCCCAGGACTACAATCAACTCTAGAAATAGTTGCCTTGGGAATCTCCACTTACTTTGAATCTATTCAGCTCAAGTAGATAATGCTTTCTTCAGTTTTGGCACACACACAGAGATTCTCTCTTGCGCAAGGCTTTTATCATTTGGGGAGAGGCTTTTGAGTAATTTGTGTAAAATAGACATAAATCAACAGAAAAGTGTATTTCAATGGCAAGCAACCTCCTTATGGCATATGTATTACCACAGTTATTACCTTTTTCTATTGTTTGGAAATGCATTTGATATCTTAATATTAGCATAATATTAATACTTTTCCCTAAGTTCTGGCTTTTAAAAGTGACCTTTCCTTGGAATTTTTTTAGTGGCTCAGATGCACTTTCATTTAGACCTGTGACAGATGAGGAAAGAGGAAATGAATGTAATTCTCAGTTTATGCTGTTACTGTTCATTGTCCTTGGGTTTGTTCTCTGTATAATCTAAGACTAAACTGCATAGTCCTGAGCATCTGAAACTGTCACAAACTTCTGTCCTTAAAACCTGAGAGAAGAGGAAATTTTTCACGATGAAGCAGATGGGATTTCACCACTGGCTTGGATAGAGCATAGTCAAACATGCAGCAAATGTCAGGGAAACCTGGCTTTTAAACTCTCATGTGCTCTTCATCCAAAAAAAGGTGAAGTGAGTTGTGATAGTAGCATTGAATATTTACCACTATGCACTAGTGCTGCATAGAGTGAATATTTGTTTATTTGTGCATGTGTGAGAACGATTTTAAATATTGCTTAAATGCATTGTAATGAATGGGAGTCATAAATAAGCCCACTTCTATATCTGTTATGGATGTTAATGTCATTTAACATTATAATACGATATCTCTGTCTGAACTGTGGTAGATATTCAAGGATTTTCACCCAAGGAACATGGAACACCTCTCTGAAAACCACTAGCTTAAGGAAGAGGAAAGCCGATAACTTATTTTAAAGCGTAAAAGAAATTGGTGTGCATTACTTGCTACTTATTCTAACTTTTCTGTGCATATTCCCTAGGCCTCACATATTATTTCCTAGTGTCATTCTGTTTCAGGTGGCAAACATTGGTGGGTGGACTTCTGCTTCACATCTCCTGGAAGCTGGGCTGGGTGGAGATAAACTTGTGTTCAAGGTACTGAAGGTTTTTTGGTATCTGCCAAACACTTCTTTTCTGTAGCTGGATTACAACATAGTTAAGTTGCTCATGGATGTTATTAACTGGCTAAAATAGAGTTTGATATAAGTGGGAGTGTGGGTGTTCTGCTTCACAGATGTAGAAGAGAACTCACATTTTAGTTAAATGGGTGTTCAATGACACACATTTAAACCAACCACTTTTATAAAGTGGATTTAATTTAACCAAAAAGCCCATAGTGAAAACAATAAGGATGTCTTATCCAAACACCTGTCCCTAAGAAACAATCTCTACCCTGGATTGTTTCTTAGTATTGTAAGAGAAACCTTGGTAATGTTTAAAAATGTTTAAAAACCTAGTTAAGAGCACTGACACAATCTTCTGCAAAACCCTCAGGGCTGTGAAGTCTACAAACGTGATCTGCCTTTTTCTGAGAGCTGCGTCACATAAATGGGGATCATTTGCCTTTTCCTAACTGATGTTAACAATAAAACTCCAAATTAAATAGTGCTTTGTAGACAAAGATCATCTGCTTGAACTGAGTGTGACAGCACAATTCAGAAGAGTTGTCATGCTTTACTCTGCTCAGGTGGATCCATTCTGCAGTATGGAATGCAGGATCTTTTTCATTGTGCAAAATGGTGTCATTTAGAAGGTGTATGCCCACAGCAATCATTGGATCTTATCTCAGGAGATACTAAAAACCTTCCTGGGCAATGACCTGAGTAATGTGACTTGACTCTGAAGCTGGGAGAGTTTGGACTAAATGACTGCCAGACACCCCATCTAATGTAACATTTTCTCAGTGATTCTGTATTAGCAAGTGACAACTGATGAATTTTCTGTTTGAGATTCAGACAGTTGGCTTGAAAAATTGAATTTCCTCACTTGCAATGAAATCCTGTGAGTATGTCAGAAAAACCAGGCTGTGTTCTGTTTTCATGTCCATACAAGTGATTACATCACTATGGAAATATAAGTGAGGTCGTAAATGAAAACAGAATTCAGTTTCCTGTTTTATAGCTGCAATAAACTGAGGATATCATAAAAGCTGTCAATGACTTTGGCAGAGACAGGATTAGGGTCCAAACCTTGCTTTACTGCCAGTTACTTTGATACATATATATATATTAATATCAAATTTATGTTGTTTATGCAGATTTTGTCATCACAAAACAATCTAAAAGAATACAGCCATCAGTAAAGTCCTTTTATAGTTCAGCTTTTCTACACTTATGATTACTTCTGCTTTAAATTATGAAATTGAAGATGTTGAATCTTTTTTTCCCAGCTTGGAAAAGAGACTTTTTTCTTTTCAAAACCTGGGATGACATTAAAGAAAATAGAAGACAAGAACCACTCGCTGATGTTGAAGAGGTTGTTTTTATCTAAGAAAGGCTTGGATGAAAAATTTGTCATATTTTGACCCTGGAGACTGGAGGCCACTAGATGTCAGCACACTGTAGGGAAAAGGGTTGAAATCCCTCTTGAGAAACCTCTTCGTTAGCTTGATTTATACAGGATACCTATTCTAGAATAGACTGAATAGAACAAGCAGAATTAATTTACATGTTTTGCCTATAATTCATCCAGCTATTTAAGCAGGAGTTTAAAGCTGCCTTTCTTCACAAAGATTAGGCACATGCGTTATTGCTGTGCAGAGGTGGATTTGTAACATCTCCTGTATTAAAAAAAAAAAAAAAAAATCAAAGCCAAATAAAAAGCAGCCTGAAAACCCAAACATAGAAACCCTCTAAATGTCCAAAGCATTACCAAGAAAAAAACTCATCAATAAACAAGCAAACAAGCATAACGTGCAAAGGTGATTTTTATGCTACTACTGGGATATGGACATTTCTGTCTCCCCTTACAAAATATGTCTCTGAATCTATCTGTTGGTTAGAGGGGAGGGTTTTGTCTATGTGTAGGATACTTAGGAATATCGTACCCAGTCTTCAGTCAGTCTCATCATGCTTCAAATAGTAAACTGCCATCCATTTGTTTGTTTATGTCCACAAAGTCTCCATTTTTTGTGTCACATGGCCTGATCTCATATACTTTCTGAGCCAGTTCATGTTATCCCAAAGGGTCTCAGCAGAATTAAGTTGTTACATAGAGATCATTGCCCTTTGTCTAAAGTCCAGAATACTAACCTCACTATAAAGACCAAATAAAAACTTATTATTTAGAGTAATCTCACTCAGGTTTTATGGATAACCTGCTTTGCCTCTGCTTCCCCCCAGGACATACTATAAGGAACTTTCTCTCTTTGCTTCTTTACAGCAAATGTTGGCTGTCTGCAAAGCTTTTTTTTTTTTTTATCCAAAACAAGGGCTCTGTGGAACACAGAGGAACATGCAGCATCTGCATAATGCTTCCAGTCTGCTGCCCAGCTTCTGCCTAATCCTTGTAGGCACATAAGTCTGATGTGTTCTGATTGGCATCTCTTGCAGTGCTGCATTTCACCCATATCTAAGCAGCAGCTCAGAGCCTTTCTGTAAGTGTTGTTTGGGGGAACCTACCCATTGCCTATCATGGGATTTGGATTTAGCCCTACAACAACCACAAACTCATAATTTCTCTTCCTACTTTTCATGTACATCAGTGTATTGCCAACAGGAGAAGCTGCTAATTGGTTTACATATAAGACAGATTGTTGATGCTGACACGTTACATCAAACATCCGTGCATTCTTTTTCAGTCCTGAAATTCCCACTTGGCAGCATAAAATTCTACCCTTACTTACATCATGGAAAAAGCATCTGAAGTCCTTTTCCATTGCACTTCGCAGAATTGCATTGGAGATGAAGACATATTTGGGATTCCTACAATTTAGTGGTGGGGAACATGAAAGAGTGGTATTTTTATGTTCTAAATGAAAATTTGGTTTTTATTGTGTGTTCCTTTTATCTTCCCAGAGCCACTTTCTTTTCTGCCCTCCCCCTTTCTTCAATTTGTTGCTGTTCCAATAGTGCAGGGGTATTTTTGTTGGTGTCTGATGTGAATTCGTTGGTAATGAGGTATGACAGTATTAGATCTTGGACTTGATGAGATTCCAGTTGAAGTCAATAACCTCAAAAGGAACAATGTTTTTATAAAAATTTATGGAGACCAGTCAAGAAAACCCAGGGCAAATATTTATGCCAGTTGAAGGTTTTAAACATTATTTTTCTGACCCAGGGTTTTTGTTGTCTTGGAAAATTTTATGTATAATAACGGAGGAAATGTGGTATCTATGGTTTTTCCCTTTTCTGTGATTACATGAATCTTTGTGCATGTTTTATCTTTATTCATACTGTTCTGATTTCATTGTTTAGTGGTCTGTTTTCTTGTGTTCCATGAAATGTGCTGGTGTACCAGTATCTACAATTACATTTAAGTCTTGCATGTTAATTGGAAGTGTAATGCAAACTAAGGAGTTTGGTTTTGTTTTGAGAACAAGCACTTTGGTTTTGTTTTGAGAACTAGCCCTGCCCATTAACATTTTCTCCACTTTAATTCCAAGGTTGGGAAGAGTGAATGGGGCAGCCATGTCTTCAGTCCTGGGAAGCCCTTGATTCAGGCCTTTACCTCACAGCTACTGCTTTCTTCCCTTGCCAAAAATCTTACATTATTCTCTTTGAAATTTACCACCTACCTGTCCCCTTTTTTCCCCTCAAGTAACAAGATCAAAAATAAGAGAAATGCAAGTTCTGAAGCCCCTCTCAGAACTGAAACCTGACCCTACTGCAGTAACCATGGTTAAAAAAAATTATTCAGATCAATCTGATGACTTCATTCCTCCATTAGTTGTCAAACTGCCTCTAGGAGTTTGGCTTAGTCAAAGGAATATGATTAGGAAATCTCAAGAGATAGACTTCCACAGAGACAACCTGATCTTTAGGAAGAATCTCTTTGTAAATCTGGCTGAGAGATGAATGTGTGGGTGGCCCAGTGTATTTGTAGGTAGTGAAAATGTGTGCTGTCTGTGCAAGTGAGCCATTTTATGCCTTCATTTGTTGGGTTTCATTCCTTTCACAGAACATCAAGGAAATTAGTTGAAATGTCTTTCCTTTAATACCAATGGCAGTCATTTCTAAGAGAGGAAAAAACCCCAAAAACCAGCGTGATTTTGGAGATAGAGGAGCCAGGGAAAGAGTAAAACAAAGAAAATATATCTGTAGGTAGTTCCTCTCTTGGATTAGACAAAATGAATCATTTCTAATTTGGACTCCTTAGTAAATGGGAAGAATACTGAGCAATCAGATACTGACTTTAACGTACACATGTTTGAAATTAATGGACATATATATGTATTATTACATTCATTGCAAGCAATGGTTGCTTTCTGTTTGTAAACAGAATGTGGTGAAATAATGGGATTTTAATTGCTTTCACAGGTCTGAAATCCTGTCATGGCTTCCTGCATCAGTACTTTTTGTGGGCATTATTTATGCTGGCTCCAGGGCACTGTCTAGACTGGTAAGAAACAAACCAGTAGAAGTCAGCTCTTTATTACCTCTGCTTTGTAAACAAAGACCATTCCCTTCATACATGGTGTTTAATGCTGTTCCTGGGTTGAGGGAGAAGGAGGGAGGAGGACTTTAAATAATAGATCCATTGTTAGCGAAACTAATGCAGTGGTCCAATCCTACTAAGCATCAAAAAGCATCTCTGTGACAGTCTGAAGAACTCAGCATCTCTACAGAGCACTTAGTGTTTTACTGAACAGATCCTCAGTGGTCTGAATTGTACAGGTAGGGAAGAAGCTGAAGAAATCAGTAGCTGTAACTTTGCAAAAGGAGGAATGGGTTTGTGGGATCTGTGGGAAATCCTTCCAGGAAACTGATGAAGACTGTTTCAATGAGAAGGTTTTGATTCTTTGCAGGATTTGAAAAAATAAATAGAAAGTTGGAAAGAGATTATGGGAAGGGTTAGATTACTCCATTTTAGGATTCATTTGCATCACAGTCATTTACCAAATGTTTACAGAATGTCAAATCTCCTTTCATGAAACTAGAATGCTTTATGCTGAAATTATATAGTCTTCCCTAATAAAGTAAAATAAATTGGTGGCATTTAGTTTTTAAAAATAACAATATTTTGCTGCTGTTGTGCAGTCTGCAAGCTCAGATTCTGCACTAGTTCCCTTCTGCATTCTGTCAATGTATCTTAATGTAGCTCCAGAGCCAGCTTGCCCCTGTCACCTCCTTAGCCCTAAGCAGAATCAAAAGGGACTTTTTTTACCAGATTCTGATTGCAGCGATCCCTTGAAAATCCCAGTAGAGAGATACAGCAGAAAAGAACAGGAGGTCTCTGTCCTTGTAAGCAAGGTTGGGGGCCTTATCTTGGACACAAATAATCTTGGGAAGGCATGTGTTTAGAAGCCTCATGCTCCCAGATCAGTTCTCTCTCAGTATGATTGCATTTACTTCCTCTTGCTTCCTTGTCAAAGGAAGTTCCACTTGCCTTCTTTAGTGTAAGGTAAGCAAAGTCCCATAAGGAAAGCCCTGTCTGGAAGCACCAATAAAGCCTGGGCAGCAGCCTCTTTTCTCCTTGCTCACCTGGATGGTGGTGAAGATAAGAATCACATCCTCTCTGTTATTTCTTACTTCCTGGTCATCCTGCAAGTTACTGTATTTGCCTCCTGTTTCTGCTCTGGTCATTCATGAGTGAACTGCACTGGAGTGGCAGAAGGGCTGTGAAGGGTTTTGATTTGTATCCCAAACCTTTCTTAAGGAGCATCTCACATTTCTTAAAGGCTTTTGTTGTGCATGAATGGGGATTTAGAGATCTAATTCTGTGGCCATTTTACTAGGCAAGACAAAATGAAAAGCAGTCTTAGGCCATAATTATTATTGCAGTGGGGCTAAATTCAATCCTATGTAGAAGCTTTACTTACAATAACTTTGTCTACGACAATTTTATGACACACTGAAAATGAAAGTGGACTCTCCCAAACTCATAACTAAATTGGCTCATCTCAACAGCATATTTTAATTAAGTGGGTTTATTTCTAAAGCAGAAATTATGTGTACTTTTATTATCAAATCCAAGGGGACCTACTTTCAAACACTCCTGTATACTGGCAAAGCTACAACTTTAATCTCTGTTTGTGCCTCTTCCTAGAGGTGCTGGCAATCTCCCCAGACCAAGGATTCAGGGCTAGAACTGGAGGAGGACTGCTTAGCACTGGACTGTGATGATTAAAAAAAAGCATGAAGAGCCATGAGAGCAAATTTGTTCAGAGTGTATTCACCCTGCCTGCCCAACCAGTAAACCTTTCTTTTCATAAGCATTAAGCCCACTCACAAATTTAAGAAATACTTGCATCAAAGGCAATAGACATATGGAGAAGGTTAAGTGGGCTAGGCAAACTGGAGCCATTGTTGGCTCCAAAACACATTTGGAAGAGCCAAAAGCAGAAGGGAGGAAAGAAAAACCCAAGAAATTGGCTTTCACAAAGGAGAGAATGTAAATTCTGCTGTCAACTTTCCTTGTTTATGGGTATTTATTGTATTTCCTATTACTGTGTCAAGCTCAGAGTACTTTTATGTTTAATACTTCTGGATTTATGTTCTCAGTTATCCAGCAACAGGGTTGAGAAGTGGTTTTCAGCGCCAGTGAAGCTGGGTCCAACAACTTAATGCCAGTTTTGTTTGTGTGATTTCCATTCTTATTTTGGCACAACTGTTGAGACTATGGACCCACCCCAGTTGTCATTATGACTTAAAATGTTTAATCAGTAAGGCTTGTCTGGCTTCTTTTCTCTAACATGTAAAGAAAAGAAAAGTACAAAAAATATGCAAAGTCATATTTGAGAGATATTTGCTGCTTATATCACCTGGTACTTAAAAGTTTGGACATTACTGAGAAATTAATCCGTTCTCTGCTACTGTGATTTAAATACCATATATGAGTGGGGAAATACTGCTTCCTAAAATGGCTTAGTCTTTAGATTATCTTAATCAGAGTAGAGAATTGCTTCTGCTTCAGCTGTCTGAGAGTCCATGGAACTGATTAGGAGGAAGTATTATGAACCACTAATTCTGGTTGGGTTTGCCTGGGGCAATGGGTGTTTGATTCATTATTGTTATCATTGGGGTTTGTTTCTTAATGATTTCATGTTGGGATGGTGTCCAGATACCTCAGTGGGTATAATTTCAACATCATTGTGTACGAACTATTGCATTTCTATCCTAATTTTGGGCAGCTCTTCCTAGCAGTAACTGAAAGCAATCACCTAAAATTGTCTTGCCCACAAATCTGTTGCTAGGAGTTGCACTGTATTCTTAGTACCAGCAGACAGAGATGGGACAACAAATGAGAACTGTTTGCTGTGGAGGCTGAAGCTCCTGGATCAGAGAGGGAAGACTAGAGACTGAAACCTGGAGCAAATCTCCCTGGGGTAGCTGGGTACAAACAAACTGACTGAGCACTCAGCAGTGGGAGACGCAGCAAGCAGGTCTGCAGGGGGGTCTGCATTTAAAGATGCCTGTGCCCATGTGCTAGTGATTGGAACGGGTTAAGTCTCTTCTAGGTGATGTGGCGTGGGTTTACAGCTTCAAAAACAAAACCCCAAACCCCAGACATGTGGGGCAGCTGTTTCTAGGGGGAGTGCCCCTTCCTATGTGTGTGACTGCTCTGGGTTGATTTGAGCATTTTTGTTCTCTCCCCCTGGCAGCCAATCCCGGTGTTCCTCACTGTGCACAACGCGGCAGAAGTCATAACCTGTGGGTTCCAGAGGTTTGTGCAGAAAGAGGTAATTGATCCATTAGTCAAGGTAGCTCCTGTGATGGAACTGCCCTAGAACAAGATACCTAATTTCTCTTAATACAGGCATTAGTGCCATGTACTTTTGTGGGCTCACTGTGATAGCAATTCATTACTGAGACCCTGAGAGAGCTTTTTGCTGGTGACAAGTACCTATACTGATGTTTCCTTTCCCCTTATTTGATGAAATACTGCAAATACATATCACCAGTCTGATCTGCATTTTTAAGACTGGCTTGGCCCTGCTTATCTTTTGCTTTTGAAAATTAATATTCCCTCTCTCTTATGCCCCACATAAAAATCTCATTGTTTGAGCTGAGAGGAATGAGGACTATGCCCTTAGATCTAATCAGTATAATAGATCTTGTGTATTGTATAATTACAGATAGGTCACATCTCCACATAAAATGCAGGAGGAACAGCGCATTTTTGAATTTGTTTTGAATGCTTGAGATTTTGCCCCTATGAAAGTCAGGAGAATAACTCTTTGTACCCTTTTGTAAGAACTGAGTTGTTTTTTTTTTCTTACAAACTGCATTCAGGAGCCTTCTTTTTAGGCTTTTTTGAAATGTTTTTCTAACTGACTACAGAGTTGTTGTGTGAACTAACACTGGGAAATCATTCATCACAAAGTTGTTTCTACAGTGGCCTCTGGCTTGCTGTGAAAGGCATCTTCCATTCATTATAACTGTTTTCTGTATAGAAGACAGATAAATGGGTGTTTACGTCATCTAACAAACAGAAGAGATCACTGAGGTTATACCCAAGGGACACAGCAGTGTGTACCATGGCATGTCCCTGTGTCATTGTCCTCTGATTAGTGTCCCTGTCAAAGTGTTTCATATTTTCCTTCTATGTCACAAGCTTATGACTCCCCTCTTTAAAAACAAAAGCACAGACAAGGATAATGCAAACACAGGCCTAACAGAAAGCTCCTCAGGAATAATTTCATACCAAAATATTGGGAAAATATCATGAGCAAATCAAGATTGCTTTGTATGAGGTAATACCTAATTAGGAAAACTCAATATTTGAATACGTATGTTACACAATTTTGGTACAATTCAAGTGAAGTTTGAGGAGCAGGTATAAAGTTCATGTCTGGTTTTAAGTTTACTTGCTCGTAAGTAATCTGAAAATATAAATCAAGGTGAAGTAGGCTGATCTGTAATCCTGATTCTTCTTTATCAAATTAAATTTGCTAAGCAGTGCTCAAATTTTGAATGCTGCTCATTGCAGTTTTAATGCGTATGGTGCAGTAAGATCAGCTGTCATCACTTTCCAGTTTTTGGAAGGAGAAAACACTATTTTACCATTTTTATCATTAAATTTTAATGTTTTAATCATACTTTCTTTTTTACAGCAGACCTCTCATCTGAAAGTCTGTAGGTAAGCTTTTAAAACTACTCAGATTCAGATTCAGACTTGTTTTGGCTCCAGCTCCTGTATTTGCTTCAGATAATGACACACCAAAACAATGAAGAATGTAAGGCACATTCCTGTGGGCAGTGAGCCTAAGTTGCAACACAGGAGTAATTAAATATTTTAATTTTTTTTTAGCAATTGCTTGAATAGTTTGATATGTTTTTTCTCCTTACAAAAATGAAATGAATGATAAAACAACCCGTAACATTGCTTTTGGAAAGGCTTGGAAGGTTTGAACTTCCAGTGGGTAATCGTAAACAGTAAGAGAAAGATAATTAGTGTGTTAGAAGGTAGCTAAAAATTCCCTGCCTTAGAAATGAAAGTAAATGAGATCCATTTCAGCTAGAATCATTCATGTTGGTGGAGGTCAGTCTCTTCTGCCATATCTCAAATGAAGGGACAAGAGAAAGTGGCCTTTAATTTCACCAGGGGAGGTGCAGATTAGATATTAGAAAAAAAATTCGCTACAAGAGTGGTTTGGCATTGGAATAAATTGCCCAGGGAGATGGTAGAGCCACCATCTCTGGAAGAGCTCAAGATGTGGCACTTGGGGATATGGCTTAGGGTGATTATGGTGGCACTGGGTTGATAGCTGGACAGATGATCTTGAAGGTCTCTTCCAACCTTGATGATTCTGTAATTCTGTGATATTAAACTGCACAATTGCCAACCCTTGGTGGCCGTGGTTATTTACGCTTCAAAAAGGAGATGGAAAGAGCCAAACAGAAATCAACCAGTCATGTATTAAAATTTTGATTCTATGCCCCCACATCCTCTTGAATAATGGATATTTGCTTTCTTCCACATCCTGTAATCTTTTAGCTGTACTTTAGAATGGATAATGTTGGGTTATTATTTAGTGTATTTAGAGGCATTATCTTCCTAATTTCTTCCTGTTGTTTCCATTATCTGACAATGTGGCCTTGTCTTCACCACTGGAGTATTGTCAAGGATACCATTTTAAAAATAATCTTTATTCTGTCTTTTCACATGCCCTTAGAGAGTAGGAAAATAAGCTGCAAAACCAAGTGTATGTTAATATTAATAGTGACAGTCCACAGAAATTCCATAGTGTATTCCCTGTAGCTTAAAGAAATACTGACTCAGCCACAGGTTAAGAATTTATTTGGTGGACTAGGAGAGTACTTGTGCTATCCTTTAGACATTTCCAGTATATACCAGTCAATTCTACCTTGCTCTGTGCTCTGGAGTAACAATGTCACTTGTAATGGAGTCACATCTGCTGGAGTTGCTGTAACAGGTAATTAATCTCAATGAAAGAACTTTTTGGTAGCTATTCAGCCAGATATTGGCTGATTTTGGCTTTTTGAAAAATCCTAGGGAAGCCAGATGGCTAGTGAAGAAAAATATTCTCTACCAAAAAAACTTGCTTATTATCACTTCTGAGGTGTTTTTTGCTGCTTCTCTTCCCATAAAACTTTGTGTACAAGTTATGAAGAATGCATTATGTAAAAATTTTGGTGACAGAAATTATTTCTTAAACAGGGAATAAGAAAATTAAAGAAGTGAAGTGTCAGTGTAAAATTGAGTGGAATTGCCTCTACTTTGCTGGGAGTAGAAATCCAGGTTGAAAGCTTTTGGTTTTGTTTTGCTTTGCTTTCTTCCCCTTCTCCACAGTGTGCTGTTCCTCCTGGCAGCAGCAGTGTGCCTTCCTTTGTGTGACACACAGGTGAGCTCTGCTTTGTAAAGCAGCTTGAGCTAGGCCTTGATGCATGACTTCTTGTTAGCATATGAGGGATGCAGCTTTTACTGGTAAGCTAGAGTAGGATTCCTGCAAGGGAATTGTGAATGTTTCCTGTTGCTGTGTTATAGTCTTGCTGGGTTTACTGTGTTTGCATCATGGTAAAACCTCTGAGCAGTGTGGACATACTGCTCAGGTGGTGGCTGGGGAAACCACAGTTTTATTTCTCAGTAGTGCTTACAGCAAATCATTTAGGTTTGAGCAAGTTTGCTTTCAGGAATCTTCTGAATTACTTTTTTTTATTCACTGTATACTCTTTCTGTGGCTGCCTGAGAAGGAAAGGACGTGCCTCCAGAGAGCTCCATTCAGGAAAGATCTAATCATTGGAGATTCTCTTTTGGAGACTTAGGAAAGCTGCTTCCTTACTTAGATACCTCAGTTAATATCTGAAGTCAGATGAGTCTGGAAACTGGTGTACACATCTGAAACAGAATTATCCCTGCTGAGACGAGCTGAGAGTCTGCATAATTGGCATATACCAGGTTTCTGAGTGTGACAGGAAGAATTTCAGTCTATCTAGTCTTCTTTAGTCATCTTCCCTTTCTTTGTAGCACAGCTCCCACTTGCTGTACTTGCTTTACAAAGCTAACTGCAGGGAAAATGCAATATGTATGTTTACATGTTCATGCTTTTATTTATGTAGATGTTCTTTATTGCAGTTTGATCCAAACGGATATTTATGGGCTCTAATTCACTTGATCTGTCTTGGTAAGTAATTTTCTTCTAGAAAAAAAATTAAGAGGAGAAAATGTGTTGGAGAAACCAGCTTTATTATGTACTTACTGATATTTCAGACTCTATATGTAAGAAACACTTGGAAAGAGTGGAGATCAGTAAATATAAGAAAGTGCATTCTTTTTATAGCTTTTTTTTCTGTTGAAAACAACAACAGAACACACTGCATATTGCAGTCTGTTAACAGTGGATGAGAAAATGCACATACAATTTTAATCAGCACTAAGCTTTTCTGGTTGTTTTTTGATGGTTGCCTGCTGAGAGAGACTTCTTTTTGAGGGGAGAAGAAACATGAAAAAAAACAAGCAATAATTTGTACTTGGAGCTTTGTTGCACACACAGATTTTATTTTAAAACTGTCAAAAATATACTAAAATCTCATGGACTGTGGTCCCAGAGGAAGGATGTTGAAATATTGGAGTTTTTTAGGCAATCATATGCATTTTTAAAAAAATTTAACAATAAGTTGCATAACCTATCAGGTTTTCTTTTGTCTTTTTTTTCAGACCAATGTTTATTTGGATAAATCGTAGCTGTTCCCTGAAAAGCTAGAAACAGTCAGACTAGAAAATCTGAAGAAAACAAGAGCAGTAATATTTAACAGGAGATTTTTGTGTTTTGGAGTATTTTGGTGGATAATAAGGGACTTGTATTTGATTCTTATCTGTCCTATATACTGAGTGAGTGACTCATTCATATGTTAAGTCTTGTCTGCAGATTAGGGATGATTCCTTCTTTATTTCTTCTATTCATACTGTAAAATTTTCAGGGCAGAGGTAATATGTTTATATGTATTCCTGTCTAGGAAGGTCTAGAGATCCCCATCTGACATGTTGTTAACATACAAATAAGGAATAGTTTTGGTGGTTTTTTGAGAAATATCATTTGCTCATTTATATAAAAGTAAAAGCTATGGATTTTCCACTTCAAATACTTTTTTGCTGTGATGAGTGTTGTTCTTGCTTTCTCAAAGCCAAGGAGTCTTATTTGTAAAGCAATGCTTGGTCATGGAGGTGGAAAATTGCTTAGAGAATCTTCAGAACGCTTCATTTATGTGTTTGAAATGTGTAGGAAGTGCCAACAGAATGTTTATGCTCAAAATATAGCTGCCTTCCATTTCTCTTGGTTTTGAGACTTGTTGATGTCACTCTTGGGAGTTATTTGTGTAATTAGATTTCCTATCTGCTGGAATGAAGGTGCTACGAGAGAGGGCAAAGAGATGAACTAACTTACTGCATAGTAAATCAAGAGAGAGCATTACGGAAAGGATGAGTGTTCTACCCTTCAGCTTGTGTACTGGAGGCAGAATTGAGGGTATCTATTTCATAGTCTTCTACTGGATTGACTTTTCATATTCTGGTTTTCTCTGTGAATCAAAGCCTGGAAGAAAGGATATGAAAAAACAGAGCCTGAAGCTGTGTCATTTCTTCCATGAGTGCTCAAATCTTTACCCAGGACAGAAATGGAAGCTAACAAGAGGTAGATGGGTGGGTCAAGAATGTGAAGAACCTGGAGACAGTAGAGCTGAGAGAACTTTAAATAGGAAAGATGGCTCAGACCTGACAGCTCTATGTACATGATCAGATATATCTTAGAACTTACCTCCAAAATGGTGTGGGCTGAAGAACCCATTCTGTGACACTTTTCTGTATGTATTTACACACAAAGCCATGCACAAACACACAATCTCTCCTTTGTTGTTGCTGTGAGCTAGAAGATGTCCTCAGAAGGACTAGCAGAACCACGAAGCGTGACTGTGCTCAGAGCTGATAACACTTTGAAAACCATTAATTTGAAGCAATAGGTTCATTTTACTCATGGTTTAGGAATCCTTTGTGCTGTGTTGCTAAACTGTAATTCAGAGGGGTTCCATGTCTGCCAGTACCATGGCCAAACAAGCTGTTGTTTGTCAGAATGATTGCACGATGTGGCAATTACACATGTCATTTCAATTACAGGGGCTTACAAAGTATTTCACAAGTTGTGGAAACCTGGATCTTTAAGGTAATGTGTTTTCCTCTTCTTTCATAAAGAGAGATGACTGTGATGTAGGGAGCTCTGCATGATCAGCAGGAGCTGGGCCACTCCTGGTTAATCATTAATGACTTCTCTTGCAAGATGAGCCTTATTTATTGTTGGTAGCAACAGCATGTGGTTATTGATAGTTATACTGCTAACTGGAACACTGAATTAGTTTTAAACACTGTATTATCCAAGGGTGATGACTCAGCCCTGGAAAAAGAACCCCTAATTACTGGCACAGGTGTTAAGAGGAAATATTAGTCTGTGTTCATGTGGAAAGCTACATGATTTGAATCTGTCAGTATCTGCCTTTGTGACAGTCTCAAAAGTGTTTGGCAGCTGGTGGCATACCACAGGATGGGAATGACTGAGTATCTTAAACACCTTGGAACCTTGCACTAATCCCATGTGCATGTTAGAGCGGCAGCCACACAATAGGAGTCTTGGAATCAGGTGGCATTGCATGTTCACAGTGTCTGTAATCTGCAGTTTTCTTTATGGATGGAGATGAGTATGTTGACACTGCATATGATGTATAATATGCATGCATGGATAAGCTTTTTTATTTCAAAACCATTTTCCATCTCTGGTTAAAGGATCTAAATTTTTATCAGTCTTACTTTATCTTCATTTTAAATGAAACTCCTATTGATAGTAACAAGAGAAATAATGTGTGGATCTTGTGTAAATTAATATGTTGGTTAATTGATAATTAATTGATTGGTGTTGATATAATTATTTCTATGTTATCTTAATAATGTATATAATTATAATATAATGTTAGTATTACCTAATATTAACCTTATTATATAAATTATTATAATGTAATATTACAGCATTACTGTATATTACTGCTTAATATACTGATCTGTTATACCAAATGAAGTGCATTGCTAAAAAACCACCTTTTTTTCTTTGCCTCCTCTCCCAGTGATCTGGACCAACAGTACATCAACTATGTATTCAGGTAAATTGAATAAGTCTTTGATACACCAGAGCTGGTTTTATGTGGTATATGTTTTCATTTTCAACCTTGGCTTGTTGAAGAAACTCAGAGCTACCACTACTTAAATGCATTTATTTAGCAGGACATTCACTGAAAGAACAGTGCTAAGCTGAATGGCTTAGCAGCTGAATTTTTTTGGCTCCAGTTGTAGATGGACATGCCAATATACACCTGAGGAGGTAACGAAGTGTTAATTATGAATTTTTAAACCACCACGTGCACAAGCGATCTATCACTTCCAGAAATAATATTTACAGAGTAACTCCCTGGCAATACCCCACTTCAGAAAATAAAACTTGTACAAAATTGCCAGAAGAGGAGGTAGTGATTACAAAAGTACTGTGTGCAAAGAACACGAGCAGTAACTGATTGTTCAGAGTGCCATTAGTGGGATTGAGTAATTCTGACTTTCAGTTGTTTTTCTGATTTGGAGATAGAAGAGTGGCTTGTTATTTTGTAGCTGGTGAAAGAGTCTGAGTCACTGACCAGATTCCCCAGCTTTTTTAAATCCAGTGCTTTCTTCAAAGTGCCACAAACCAGGACATTCAGTGTACATGGCTTCTGGTAGGTTTTTGTGAGGCTTTATTTCAAGTAAGGCATCTAGAGACTTGATTCAATTTTCTTCCATCCAAAATCACATCTAATATATGTTGGCCTCTTTTCTTGGGTTCACACCTAAGGTCATTTGGGAATACAAAGTATGAATAATAAATTCAAAGAAATTCCTTCTATGGTCAGAAGGAGTGAAAGAGGGAGCTGAAGTTGGGAATAAGCATAACAAAAGTGAAGTTGTGCCAGTCTGTTTGATTAGATGGATATATGCTCTTGTCTGGCCACATGAAAGATCCTTGATAAAAGTACATCAGGGACACCAATGTATGACAGTTGCTTTCCTTCAATTCCCATTTGTCTTGTGAGCATAGTCAATATGATAACACTGTGTCTCTTTCTGTCTTAGTTCAATCAAATCTCCTGTTTCTGAAAATAAGTAATGCAGGCCTCTGCTTTTGCCTTTATGATTCACCAGGCCCTCATTAATGGACAATATCTGGATATCAGTTTGCTTGAAGTAGGCTCTTGTTTAAGTCAGGTGTTGTTTTCCATCTACTATGAAATGCAAAGCAAATCAATTTTGCACAAAGAGGGTAGGTGTGTTTATTGAAACTTTGGAAGAATTAGTCATGGAATTTGCAAATATGCTGCCACATGCAGAAATAACCTATGAAGTCTGGAATGAGATGTAGCTATCTCTCTGTGTTGAAGGGAAATCATGAACCAAGCAGTAAAATCAATTGATTTTCATTTGGCAACTGCCTGACTGTCTCTCAGTTGTCATTTTAGTTGAAAATTGCATCTAGGCCTGAACCTTTAAATTCAATTTTGATCAAAAGTCTTAATTTTTCAGCTTTGATTGAAAAGTCAAGGCTGGGCTGTTTCTCTGTTAGTTCATGATCTTGGCCCTTTGAAGTCTGTGAACTTGTGTCCAGCAGAGAGCAGGAGTCCCACATTACATGAAAAGTATGATAATTTATTTGGAAGCTTTTGAAAGGGAGAAACAGTTCTCATTAAGGAACTGTGAGGTGCAGCTGTATATGTCTCTAAAACTGTTCTTTTTACAGAAAAGAAACTAACAAACAATCCAACAATGGATTTATGCAAATTGGAAGATGGCTATTTTCAGCATCTGTTTAAGAGCAAAAATTTGTTATCAAAGCTTCCAAAGTTTTTCCCCAAGAAGAGGCTTAAAGGTCAGCGTAGCTCACAAGATGATGGTGCAAAGCAACTTGCTGGACAGCAGGTGGCTTCAGGGAGGTGGCAAACTGGATGCTTATTTTTTTTGTTTGGGTCTGTGTATATCTGTATGTCTGTGTGTCTGTATTGGTATATGTGTTAGAGAAGTCCACAATCCACAGCATTTGGATCTCATCTTGCCTAGGGAAAACAAGCAGTACTATGGACAATGGGATAAGTGACATCTGAATTCTTTTAGAGTTTTATTTTGTCAAAATAGCTAATGATGTTTGAAAGGGTGTAAAGTTTGGCAGAAATTCTCTCCTGGTCTGCAACCTCTATGACGTCTCCTCCAGTGTCTAATGGGGCTGGAATCCTGCTGCAGGAGGCACTGGCAGAGTTTGCCTCTGTGTGAGACCCGTGCACATGTAGTTATCTCAGAGACCTCTGCCACTTCCCAAGTCTGGATTAAGCTGTTCAGCATGTTTGAGAGCTGTGTGGAGCTGTGTACGCCCAGCTTTACTGCACAAACTTGATTTTTGTAGAAAACAGTCCAAAATACTTTTAAATATCACTGACTAAAGGAATGGTCTCTGAATGAGCACTAACTCCTCACAGGCAGCTCTGGGTCAGAGTTACTGTAGACATGGATTATCTCTGTCAGAGGGTGCCCAGCAGTAAATTTTGTGATTTAGAAGGTGTTAAGGCATATGCTGCTTCTTCTTCTCAGGTCTTCTCATGGACTGTTCTGGTCATGACAGGATCACAGTTCCACCTCCAGGACAGGACAGTTTAATGTGTACTGGAGCTCTTGTCTATACAAGCATGATTGTATGATTCTATGATTTATTAAAGAACTTGCTAGTGTGGTATCAGTGCAACTTTCTCCTCCTAAAACTATTATCAATAGGTTTTTAAAACTCTTTATTTCTAACCTAGATCAGACATGTAGCTGTGTGGGCACAGCCAGATAGTGTTTAGAATCATCCAATCTTTTAGGTTGGAGAAGACCCTTAAGGTTATTAAGTGCATTAACCAAGCACTACCAAGACCACCACTGAACCTTGTCCCTAAGCCCCACGTCTCGAAAATACCTCTAAGGATGGTGACTCAGACACTGCCCTGGGCAGCCTATTCCAAGCCTTTTAGTGAAGAAATTTTTCCTAATACATAGGAAGTGTTCATTATGTTCAAAACGTTCATGTTATTATGTTCAAAGTATTTCTCAGTTCAGTATGAAACCACAATTGTACCTTACTGAGTGTAGAGACTGCCTGCATTACTTTGTGGCAGATTAAAAGATCTGCCACAAATTACTGGATGTTAGAATATACCAATATGTTAGAGCAAAAAGAAATAAATAAATATATATATATATATATTTATATATATATAAAAGAGAAGGCTCTTTTGGATGCTTCCAGAAGTGCAACTGAAATGAGCAGTCTCCTAACATATGCTGTCCTTACACACCATGCACTATTTCTTGTTCTGAAATCTGGAACAGTTTGGAAGAAAAGAACACCCTAAGTAAATGTATATGAATGGGAACTTTCCAGAATCAAACAGATCTGAAGAAATATTTGCTGATGTTGAAAGTCTGGCAGTCTTCTCAGTTCATCGCTTCCAACATGATTATTCAATGGCTTTTGAAGAGGGAGCCAGGCCAGGAACAAGTGTAGGAGGGAAAGCAGAGCTGTGCTATGCAGACAAGGGAGGGGTAATGTTGCTTCTCAGTGCCCAGCCCCATCCAGCTCATCTCTTTCCCTTGTGTTTGAGCATCTGGGGCAGGGAGGAAGAGAAGAGGGTCAATGTACTTCCAAGATCTGCCTCTAATCCTCCAATCCTCTTGATCCTCCCCCTTTTTTTCAACTGCAGTGTTGTATTTCTCTGTACTCTGACTTCTGCATTAGTGTTCTACTTCATAGTGTTTTTTGGTTTTTTTTCTCATTATCTTACATTTTCTTTTATTCCTTTCTCTTCCCCCACTTTTTATCAAAGGGGAAGCCAGATTTCTCCCCCTTAGATGGTGAGGGGTAGCGTGAGAGGAGGAGCAGTAATGCCTGCCTGTCATGTTGAGGGAGACATAAATGTCTCAGAAGCAAGTTGTAGCTCCTCTTGGGCTTTCTCCTATGCTGAGGCAGGTAGTGGTACTTTACTTCTTGTGAAGAACCTGCAAGAAGGTTTCAGTGCATCCCAATACCATCTCTGTCTGAAATTTGTTCATAAAGGCGTGCCTAGGTAGCCTGGCAGCCATTGGTGTGGAGAGAACAGATACAGGAGAATTTCAAATGGTGAATAAATGGCAAAGTTATGAGGTAAAGGCTCTACTCTATGCAGCAAAACTACATCTGGCTTCAGGAAGAGCTGCTAATCTGCCACTTTTGTGAATTAAAAATGCTGCAGTAGATTTTCTGCAATAGGGGAGAGCAGCTTTGCAGGCATAAATTGTTTTTCTTGCTGACAAAACCTTTTTTTCAGAAAGGAAACCACGAGTGACCCAGCCCTCAGTATTTAGTACAGAGGGAAAAAGAGAGGAACAGAAAAATCCAGCCCATGGAATTTGTTTTTGCTGCAGCCTCATATCCATCCAGGCTGTCCTGCTAGAAACCTCTGAATCCCTAATCTGGTTTTACAGCATCATCATGTCTTTTTTACAGATGCTTCATTCAGAGCAGGGCTGCAGAGCAGCTGTAATGCCATCTAATCCATTTGCCTTAACCTGCCCTGCACTTCACAATGAAGGTTTTGTTTTCTCCTGTTGTTTTGTTTGGACCAAAACCTGGGATGTCCGTTAGGGTTATCAATTCCTCTTGGTTGCAGAAGGAAGTTTCTCTCTGACTATTTCCCAGTCTCAGTGGGTTTTTGTTTAAAATGTAATCATTCAAAAAGTAAGTGGAGAAAAATGGTTTAGCCCTACTTCTCATCACTGTTGATACAGTTTCACTTTTCCTGTCAGTCTCCTATTTTCTCTGTTATTCAGTCAAAGCGGTAGACCTTTGCTTCCTTTTCTCTCTTTACCAGGAAACTGAGGAACTGGGCCTGTTTATTGTGAATTACTCTTGGCATCCCTTTACAGGGAGAGCATCCATGTGTGGGGAGGAGGGGTAGGGCAAATTACTTATTGTAAGTGATCTGCTTTGCCTTGTTTGATGCCTTTGTGGCAATAACATCTTTTAAAACATGTATAAATATTGAGAATGCAGACATGCTGTACCATCTGATGCCTTTCAAAGACTTATAAAGTGTGAAGCCTATAATACCTGCCTGTCTGTCCCTCATAAACCCTTTTCTCCTTCAGCCTATTGTGTTCCTCAGCTGATTTCAGTGACAAGCTTCCCTCCAGGGCTTCCTTGGCCATGGGATTTCCATGCTCTCTGCAGTTCCTTTTGCTGCAGGTGATTCTGTGACTGATGCTGGGGTCCTCCAAAGCTTGCCAAGGGCAGGTCACCAAGCATGGAAGCTCGGTCCTGTACAGAGCTGGGACCAGCTGTGAGGAAACAGGTTTGGAAATGGTAGCTGTGTTAACACTGGAAAAGAGAGTTGGCCTGGAATGCTTGAGCATTCATAACATTAATGAATGTCTTTTTACCTCTGTAAGTGCAGTGCTTGCTGCTCACCAAGAAGCAAACTCTTGAGATACTATTTTCTTCTTCTCCCACTGTCATGGATGTATGTTGTTGGTAACTGGAAGAAGCTGTAGCTCTACAGACATGCATGCTTATCCCATCTCACAGCACCCCAGAATGTTTTTGTAGCTCTCTAACCTTAGAAGCGATTTGGAGTGAAAAATGAAAAAAAAAAAGGCTCTGTACAACCTATACTGCAAATGCAAAAGGGTGAGGTCTTTGTAAGACCTCAGAAAACCTAAGTGATAATACTTCAGATAAAGAACTGGTCACAACAGGTTTTTTTTTTCACTTGTATCTGGAAAGTGTGAATAATTTGGGCTGTTGCTTGGTTTTATTTTCATGTGTTTTTAAACTTGTCTACATGCAATATAAAGCGTAGTATGGAGCAACAACCATACATTGCAACTTTGATGGTTTAAAAATGGGACAGCAGGAAAAACTTCTTTGCTGGGAGGGTAGAGTGGCCCTGGGAAAGTTACCCAGAGAGGTGTGGAATCTCTGTGCTGGTAGGTTTTTGAGACATGCCTTTTTTAGACAGTACCAGAGGGCATCACCAAATATTTGTGATAGTCCTGCTTCAGGTCAGAAATTTTATTAGGTGACCCAGACATTCCTTTCCAATTAACTTGTGTTTTCTTTTAATTGGTATTTGTGTCTCAGTTATTCTACTTAACTGGAATAAGTTTCACCATGGAAAAACAAACACAAAGCTGTCAATTTATAGTCTTCAGCCCATGTCATAAATTCTGTAGTATCCAATTATTTTATTTTTTTTTTTAGTGTGGTGCTGTTGGCCTCTGCATCCCATCCAGCAGGTAAAGTGAACTGAGTTCTTTCTTTCTGAAGTTTCCATGTTGCTTTTGCTTTCTATGCATGTTTTTAGAGACCAAACCCTTAGGATTTTAGCCCTGAATATGGCCAATAATATGTTATCATGTAGGAAGAGGAGAGAAAGGTATATAATTTGGTGTAAGTTGCATGATATTTCCCAATACCATTCTTAGCTGTCCCATGCAAACAAGCAGTATGGGGGCTGACAACAAAGAACAGTTTTTGAGGTGATGCATGGTAAAGAACAAGGATTCCCTAAGCCATCATATCCTCTTCAGAGCAGTGTCCCAGCAGTCCAGAACTGAGTTTCCTTCTCTGCATTGTCCCCAGTGCTATGCAGAAGTTTTCTTTTGTTGCTTTCATAATGAGAATCCCATTCTTGTTGGCTTGGGCCCATAGTAGGATTTGAAGTAGCAGCACATCAGGTGGTAAAAACTGAGAAATTTTATGGTGGCTAATATTCCTACCTTCTGGTGTGTTCATAATTAGGAGGGTAAAGGTGATCATCTGTTGCTTACATTTGTTCAGCCAGGAAAACAAAGAAGGAAGCATTTAAAGAAACATAAATTCTCCCTTTTCCCTGGTGGTGCAGATTGTGTATATAGGAAACCCCCACCAGGATAGACATACATGTTAAGTGAAACAGTCTTACATTTCAAAAAGTGAAAGATGGAGCTTCATGCAAATCTGTAGAGCCTGAAGGCCAGAGAATTCTGGGAATTGCCACCAAGAGCACCCAAGTCCAGGTTCCTAGAAATGCAAGTACTCAAGAGCTCTACTTAGACCTAGGGGAACACTCTTTGAACCTCTCAACATGCTCTGTGTTACAGAGTTCAAATGGCAGAGGGGGAAACAGCCACCATATGTCTGTGTTTCCTGTTGTTTCAGTAGGAGCTATTGCATGCTGCACAGTAAAAGAAGTGGGTATGATACATGTCTGTCCACTGGCAACTTTTGCTTAAACAGGACCTTCTGAACACTGGAAAAGAATAAATACTCTTAGGTATCCCTTTTCCCTTTTTCAACCAAAGGCAAGAACTGGCTAGAAGCAAGGTCAGAGAGAAATCATTAAACATGCCAGAAATGTGGAAAGCATCATAAATGAAAAGCCAGCCAGCTGTGAAGGCTCAAAGGAATGTTAAACTAGTAATGTTCATGTAATTGCTGTTGCATTGCTTGTAACAGTGGGTAATTTTTTTCCCCACCTACTGAGTGTATTGCTTTGTCCCTCAGGTGATCTCTTCAGTGCCTTGGATTTTCCATTCCTGTACTTCTACAGGTTTCATAGCAGCTGCTGTGCCAGGTAACCTCTCTATAATAGGTCATGTAAATGTTTTCAAAATAAGAGGTTCAATTGACTTCCAGCCTATATTCTCAGTTAAAAATTTTGTAGCATGCAAAGCCTTACTTATACTGGTTTCTGCTGCCATAAGCCAGTAGAATTGCAAAGAATAAATCTTTGCATGTCTGTGGATATGCATTTAATGGCCTGAGATTCAAATGTGCTGAAAGTATGTGTATCCTTGAGTAACTGCATTCTGACTGGGAGAGTTCACAGTCACCAGTAAAATAATGTTTACCCAATGTAGCAGAGCTTTGATACATAGCATCTCTCAAATGCTTCTGAAGTCAGATTAACCCAAACTTGCTGTTTGCAGCAATTACTGAGTATTAGTCTTCAGCAGTATATGGGGTGTACATGGATTTATTTGCCTGTACATCTTGTGATTTGGCAGAATGCTGTTTTGGATAAAAAGGAAAAGCTTTAACAAGCATTCCATTATTTTCAGTAGCAAAAGTTCACTGCATATTGGCATAATTCTCGCAGGACAACATAAATATGCTTCCCATAGATCTTAATTCTTTTTTAATTCCTGTCTTTCCCCCCCCTAGTCTTTTACCAAATTAAAGTATTTTTTAAGACGGAGAAAAAGATATTTTCATTCTAACTAATGGCAAAAATATTTTTTGAAAGGCCTTTTCTGACTTGTATCTGGATTTTCTATTGAAAGGGTATATTGGGAATGACTGTTAAATAATTTCTAATGTATATAGGTTTTTGTTATGTTTTTCCAAGTGTGGTCTATCCACACTACAAGTAACTCACAATTAGGTATTCTGTAAGTAGGTGAAATCTATTTTTCTTGAAGGTGAGGCCTAAATGCAGGTTCTAATGGATATCAGTCTAGCCCAGATATTGTTTTATTCACTTTATTTACCTCTGTGGTAGCTTCCCACTTCTGTTTCCATTGGCCCACCTTCAGTACATGTGTAGTAGGTAGCACTGTGCACTGCAGGAAGGGGAAAGGAATGGTTAGATGGAGAGACAAACATCTCAGTTGCTCTCCTACATTTCATAATTGAGTGTCTTTTTAACTATGTGGGATTTGGAGGAAAACCTATGCAATGTAAGGTAAGGGCAATTCATACTGCCTTTGAAAAATGCCTGAAGCATCAGCAGTAAGGTGGAAAGTGCTCAATTTATTTAATGGAATAAAATGCTGTTAATTGTCGCATCAATATTTTAGGTAATATAATTTGCTGTTTCACTTTTTGATCTCTTGAGTTGCACTGAATATCTTCAAATCTTCATGAATGAAAGCCCTTCACAGCAGGGCAGAAGATCTGAAATAAGCTACTGGACTCTTAAAAGTATGGGCAATGTTGGTTCATTGAACTCATTCATTTCTCAGAGTGGAATGCTTTACTGCTCAGCACTCCATCATCTGCAACAAGTTGCTGAGTTTAGGCTTATCTTTTGTCATCAAAGCAGCATCTGCTTCCTTGGCTTCAGACTTGACACACAGCCCAAAGGTCTTGTGTTGTGGCTCAATGCAAAAATTCTCAATGCCTTCTGCTCTTGACAAGTTATCTTTCCCTGCTCTTTGGTGCCTGTATGGACATGCAGCTGAGCTGGAACTTGGCCACATGTGTTGCACAGGAGCAGCATTTGGCTAATATACTGGAGCCCAGCACAGATCTTCTGACCTGAGGAGCCACCATTTTCCACCCTTCCTGCTGCTGAGAGGGGACCAACTGCATGGCACCTCTATTCAGAACCTTCTGTAAATACCAAGGCACTTTTTGCTTCACCACCTGTCTGCTGTGTTGATCCTATCTCCTTTCCCACAGCACTTTGTTGTCTCTTATGCCTCAGAGTAATTTTTGCCTTACATATTTTGAAGTCCCTTTCTGTTCCCTGCTTTCTGGTTTACATTGTTCCCCTGGTTCACAATGAGTGGGTTGTATGTATCCAACCTCATGAACTCCATAAAGTCTGTTGAGATGTGGAACAAAATTTCCTTAAGGGTAGTCTTGGCTACAGGAGAGCTCCAAACTGCTGTCCTATAAGACTTGAGATTCAAAATTCTCTTAATTGTCAGCAGAAAACTTTGGAATATCCTGTTCCCAGCACTACTGAGCCATCTATTTGTTATACAGTAGAGATGTATTTGACTTCCTAATTGGAATTTTGGCTTCATGAAGTTTAAACAGCTTAAAAGCTTCAGGCAGAAACTTTCCAGTGGTTATTTTTTCAGTTCAAGGCTCTGTGGAGGTTGAAGTGAGTTAGTTGCCAAATATGTGTGGTTCCTGCTGAAATTAGCATTGCTGTTATTCAGAGCCATTTCAATGCCTGAAGTTAATATTTCACCTCATGTTTTCAATAATCTCTACTTTTCTGATTATGCAAGTGCATTAGACACCAGCCATAAGAGTGTCAGACTTACTTTATTCAGATTCTAGTCCCTGACTGAACAAAACACTAGGTGTACTGGATATAATGTAAGCCTCTTGTCCACCAGCTTTCCTTCTCCAAATGGGATTAACACTGCAGTTCTTCATTAGGAAAACCAAGATGTCTGTAAGAGGTTGTTTAGTGGAAGTTAAGAGATTTTATTAACAAGCTTTCCCCATCCTTTGCAGTGGACTTTTGGGATTCCTTCTGATGTTGCACACAGTGAAGCTAAAAAGCAGCACAACCTCAGGGCAATATGCAGCCTGGAGTTTCCTTGCAAAGGTAAGAGAAAGAACCTCACAGGAACACAGAGGATCTGTGCGTGTCCCAGGAGAACTGAGGAATTTCTGCAACTCTCTAGTTTCTCTTGCTATTCCTCCTTGATGCTTCCTTGGTCCTGTTTGTGCAACCTGCGTGTAGAGCTGTGGCAACAAATATCAGGTGTGTAATATCCCAGGATCATTATCTGAGATGAAATACTGTGTGTAGACTGAGCCTAATGGAACTGGGATGATTATTGCAGCTAAGGATTTGGACTATGGCATCCAAGTAATACAAACCTATACTTTCCAAAGTGTTTTGGAGAATACTTCTTCTATGAGAGTGTGCACCAGCCATTTTGCACACAGTTTGCAGTGTGTCTTTCCTGAGCCAACAGTTACAGCTAATTCCCTGAAGTTCAATACCAGAACTCTCACTGTTTTTGTTGCAGGAGAGAGCTGAGGATGTCATTTGCCTTGACATTACCAGGCCTTTTGATGGTCCCACAATAATATTATATAAAAATTAGAGTACTACAGTCTGGATGGGCAGATAATTAGATGGATAAAAAATGGTTGGAGGATCAGGTTCAGAAGGTAGAGGTTAATGATTCCTACTCTGACTGGAGTCTTGTGACAAGTGGAATGGCACGGGGATCTGTCCTGGGTCCTTTCCTATTTAACATTTTTATTAAGAATGAGAAGTAAGAGTGTGCACTTGCATTTCCAAGGGACACCAAACTGGGAGGACCTGTCAATAACACTGGAGGATAGGGTTGCCTTACAGAGGGATCTGGACAGGCTGGAGGAATGGGCCAACAGAAATCCTAGAAAATTCATCAAGGACAGATGTGAAGCCCTGTACATGGGAAGGAAGAGTTGGTGGCAATAATAGAGCCTGAAGGCTGCACAGTTGGGAAGCAACTCTGTGGAAAAGGACCTGGGATTTTGATAGACAGCAAGTAGGACATGATGCAGCAGTGTGCTCTGGCAGCTAAAAAACCCCAAAATATCCTGGGCTATAACAGGATGAACTTATAATAGGATAGACAGCAAATTCGTGGTAGTGATCATGACCTTCTCCTCAGCACTTGTTAGTCAACATCTGGAATAGGGAGCCTTGTTTCAGGCACCTCAGTACAGGGAAGATATTGATAAACTGGAATGAGTTTGGCAGAAGGTTGCCAGGAAAGTCAGGGGACTGGATCACTTGCATTTTGGGGAGTGGCTGCTGGATCAGGCCTGTTCAGCCTGGAAGAGGGACGTCTTTGGGAGCACCTAAGAAACAGCAGCCACCCAGTAGCTATGGAGAAGTCATCCAGAAGACAGATCCAGGCTATTCACAGTGCTGTGTAAGGTTGTGTTAAGTAAACAGAGAGGTTCAAATTAGGTGTGAGGGAAATTTTTTTCACCCCAAAGACAAGTCAGGCAAGGGCACAGGTTGCCCGGGAAGGCTGTGCTGTTTCCGACTCTGAAGGTTTACGAGACCCAACTGGATAAAGCCCTAAGTAACCCAGTCTGAGCTCCTAAGGTCCATTCCTTCTGGAATTATCCTGTGATCTGGGGTCTGGCTGTACTTGATTTAAGCTATTAACAACTCAGTTTTTAAATTATTGGTGGTGAATGCAGTCAAAAGAACTTCTCAGACTCCTTTTCCCTGCTTAGATTTTACTTACTTTCGTCACTTTCATCTAGGTCATCTGAAAACCACAACCTTCCCATGTGGTTTGTGATCTCACCTTTCCTACTACAGTGAATGAAGCTGTTACATTATCACCCTCCCCACCCCAAACCCTAGATTTGCATAATATGCTTCTTTAGAAACTGTAATCAAATGAGTCTTTTTTTTTTGTGGGGATAACAAGAGTGGACTGATATGACTTGGTTTGAGCTTTGTAAGCTCTTCCCCACTGTACAAGTCACAGAGAGTTTCTCACTAGTTTGAATTTCTTCCAAACATTCTGAGTGTGCAGATTTTAGTACCTTAGCTTTCTTCTTACTGCTTCATAGCAAAGTCTAAGATCTAAAACTTGCTCTTAAGTCTTTTGTTGTTGTTGTGGCTTTTTGTTTTGTTTTAGTTTGGTTTTTTGTTTAACATTCTGGGTTGGAGATTGGAATAGCTGGCTCTGCTAGTAGGTGTTGTGAATGAGGGTAAATGGTTTTACATGTGGTATTTATGACCTACTGGAAAAAAATGCAAGCAAAAATGTGTTGTGAAATGTATTTTAAGTGGATTTGGGTCCATCCCAGATGAAGTGGATCAGAGCCATAAAGTCTGGATTGGATCAAAGTTTTCCCAGAGTTCAAGGTTTTCTAGATTTGTGGGGGTTTGGCCATCTCTAGACATAAGTGATATGAAGTTTGTTCTAGCCACTGTTGTCAATGAAATTATGTGCCTTCATAGCAACTTAAAGCTTGTCTCTGTGTCACTCGAAGAATTTAATCTGTTCTTTATCCTTTAAAGTTCATGCTTTTTAATGTACACTGTTTAATTATCTTGCTTGGAAGGTTTTTGTAACAGAGCAATTAGTCCTTTTCCTGTTGTAGCTTCTAACCCAGTGCTCAAATTATATGTTTTATCTTGAGTTTGAAGAGGGCAATAATAATGAAGACATGAGATCTGTCTGTAGCACTAATAATTTTATCAGCACTAGCAGTTTCCCTAAGTCTTCCACTAGTGTTTTAAAACTTGCTATGTGACTTATTTTAGGGTTCTACCATACCCATCTAAGGACTCATGAGGAGCATGGAGGAACTGCTGCTCCAAGAGCTGAAATGCAGTTGATTTGGGGTTAAAAGTCAGTGAATGCTTGAAAAGTTTGGAAGCACCATACATCAGTTTTAGAACAGGGACCAAAGCAGAGACAGACACAGACAGGCAGAAAGCAGCAGCTGAACTGGAGCTTGCCTTAAGGGTAGGGGCTGATCTACTGGCTCCCAAAAACCCAAGGAACCTTCTATCTACAAGGAGCTATAAATTTATGTACTGTGCAGTTAAGATTTGAGTTCCATCTGTCTGATCATTAATACTACTTTCTGCAGGTGTTTGAAAATGGTAAAACTATGTCCTGATCTAACTCAGTATTGCCCAGGTATGAGGGCTGTGTGAGTCACATCTTAAATCAAGTGCAGAAAAGCAGCATTTAACTAGCACTGTAAAAATCTGTTTAAGTCTAAGTGTCTGGCTCCCTTGAAAAAAAACAGAAAAGGAAGGAAGTTAATATGGATAAAGAATAAAGATAGAAAGTATTTGTACCTGGACTTGCAGAATGGAATCCAGTGGAAAAAAAAACCAAAAAAGCCTCTGGTCACAACAACAGCTTTGTGTTCCCACATGAGCATTTTTCTTGGATTGAGTAGTGCCCTAGATCATCCTCCTAATCTCTCAGACTGATTGGAGTTTTCACCAGCAGTTGGAAAGGAGCAGCATTTGAGGCCAGAATATGTTTATCTTGCAAATGAGCCAAGAAAGGAGAATGCTGCAGTCCTCAGACAGCAGCACAGGCCTCCAGGGAGGTGCAGGGAATCGGAAAATCTGTTTTCCATTTGGATGCTTTGTACCTATGTGACTGATGAGCTGGGGCTGAGATCGTTGTCACAACTTCATTTCCAATAAATTAACCATGGGATCTGATCGGCTCTGCTTTGCACATCCAAGGACACATTCTTTGTGAAGCCCACATATTTGGCCTCCCTACCCTCTAATTTTTCATTCACTTAAAAACTAGAGCTGGGTCGTAACTTGTTGTTATGATCTTTACTTTGGCTGTGGCAACTTAATCAATGCACGAGGTTTTAAAATTCTTTCCTGTGATGATTTCTGACAGCTCTCATGTTAGGGCATTGCTTTGCACAGTCACAGATGAAGCACAGGTTTCATCTGTGTATAAAGTGCTGTGTGATAATTATAGTGACAAATGCTCTCTACACTTTTTCTGTGAAAGCAAACAGTGTATGTGTTAGTTATATCTCTGTAAATTCCTGAGAAATGCAAAAAAAAATCAGTGAAGTGATCTGTATTAAAAAAAAAAAAGTTTTTAAGAAGTCCAAGAAATACAAAATGCTTTGTCATAGCCTTGCACAGATTTAATCCCCGGAAGAGCAAGGATTTGAAGCTGTACTGAGATTTCTTGTTTTAATTTGAAAGCTGTGCTAGTATCCTGGGTCATGTACTGGAAAGAAAAAACTGGAGATGCTCATATATACAGACAGAAGCATCTGGTGAGGATGATAATGAGCTCTAACAGCACTGTCAGTGAGTTTGTTTTGATTAAGGTTGCCAATCTATATCTGGTGATGAAGCCTGTTAGGGTCTCTAAAAGTTTTACCAGCAGAAATAATTTAAATCATTAACAGAATGGAAAAATTCAGCAAGATACTGGTTACTTATGAATTTGTATTCGCATGTCATGTTTAGTGTTATCTTAAAAAACTTGTAGTAGGGAATTCAGCTTGTTTCCAGTAAGAGCCTATTGAAGCAGCTTGTTATAAACAGGAAGAACAAATGGGAAGGTCAGTGGATTTTGAATTCTCTTTTTCTTCCTCCCTCACCTGAAGAAAGGAAATTCAATAACTGAAATTAAATTGCATTGAGGTTTACTGATTTTCCTATGCATGGGTTGGAAGGAAATATAGAATAATCGGATCAGGAGTATGCAACTATTTTCTATATAAACATCCCAGGCACTATTATGTAATCTATAATTTATCTGAACAGTGTTGGAGGCTCCCTAGTACATAAAAGCATCCTCTGACAGCTGCTTTGGTTCCTTGTTTGTTAACTTTAGATGTGTATGCCCCAGGTCATCCTGTGTTTAATGCTGGCTGCCAGACATTGCGAAAGCAGCTTTGCAGGAGTGTCTGAAAGCATCTCTTATCTGTGGGTTCTGTGTACCAACTGTACTTATACCACAGCAGCTTTAGTCTTCCCCCCAAATGTATAATGGCTGTTCAGAATCCCTCCTGCTATTCAGAATGACTCCTGTAGTCTTGGAGTTTATATATTGTGTCTGTATTTTTGCT